CGTACTCGAAAAGTAAAAATTAAACTTCAGATTAAAGGACGAAATATAATTCTTAGATCGACCAAAGCTACGTTAATTAAAATATCTCGATTGACAAGAAGACGTCTCTTTCATAATTTTTATGGGGTTCCATTGATAAATATGGCAAAAAACAAAATTGAAAATCTAACTTTTACAGGTACAGTAGAAAACACCAAAAATTTTACGTTGGTGCACGAAAAACTCGAGAAATAATGTTAAATATGATTAGGCGTGCGTTAGTATTGCTACAAAAAAAATTTGTTACAGCGAAGAGATCACTTATCACTGAAATAATTGCAACGTCCCATTGACTCGCGTATTTTTCTCGATTCACCTCTCAGTTTTGCGAGAAATTTCACCCGAATTCGTGGCGTTCGACGTGAAAACTCAGGGACGAGCTACGAAAGTTCGGAAACCGAACGAGAGTAACAGAAGATAGACAGGGCGGAATTAATCGTTGCCGCGGCGAAGTAGCGACGCGACGACGATCATGTCGGGGTAATTTGTAAGATCGCGGGGGGTTCTCAAATTTGCCTGGATCTCCCGGCGAGCCAGCTGAGCCAAGCACGCCCCGGGGAAGAACTTATTCATAAGATTATTTCCCATTTTCGTCATGACGCCGCTGTATCGTTATTTAAGTTTTATATTAAAGCACGGCCCGGAGCCGTGGCGGCGTTTTTTGATGGACGAGCGGCGCGTGTCCTGCTTTCCTTCAACGGATTCGCCTAAACGTGAGATATCGTGCTCGATCAATTTTTCATAAACGTACGTCCGCGCCGCCGCGAAATGTTCACGCGACGTCAGGGAAATTCGCGTCGTCGCCGCTGCCGTTTCTCCTTATTACGAAGCCGGAGAAACGATTTTTATCGGTCCGTCGATAGCCTCCTCGCGTTCTACTCGACGATTTTCGACCACGATCGTCACGATTTCGATTGCATTATTCAAGCTTCGACGAGAGCTTTCCTTCTGGAATTCTTCTTTCGACGATTCTTCGAGTTTGAGCTGTGAGCCAACGAAAACGGAGTGCAAGTAAATGAAAATTCGATTTTTAAGAGATACAAATTTCATAATTATCAAGGTTACCTATACTAAAATTTCTTTCTCTACACGCAACAAAAATTCTTCCAAAATTCACAAGAAACAACCCTAAACTCCAACTTCCCCGAGAGACGTTCCCACATTTTTTCCAAGCGTACAAAAAAATCATTCAACCAGGCTCATTCATGTCTCCATAACACCACACGTAGCGGCGCAGACATCTTCATCCAGTAGGCAATCCGAAAATTCCCCGACCGGCAAAGAGAACGGTAGAAAACGAGAAGGAAGCTGTTGGTCGGCTTTAATCAAACTCGAATCTTCATTCTCCACGTCCACGGTCGGGCTATCAAATACAATCACCGAACGTGCCGCGTCTTTTTCCTTCTGCTCGACACCCCCTTTTGCTCTGTGTGCACCAAGCCTACACACACCCTTCCTCTGCTCCGCCAGAGTCGATTCGTTCTCGCTCGCACGAATTGAATACGGCACGGTGGCGGCGGTGGTGGTGGAGGTGGTGGTGGTGGTGGTGGCGAAGCAGCAGCAGCTTCACGGAGGGAAGATGAAGGAGCAGAGAGAAGGTTGCCCTGGCAACGACAGAGGGACTTCTCGACGTGGTTGCCTGGGCAACCTCTAACCGGAGGATCCCTAAATATGCGCCAGCAGGCCAGAAGTGGCGCGTGAAAGAGGGAGGGAAAAAGAGGGTGAGAAGAAGAAGAAGAGCCACTGTGCAAGTAAGAAAGAGGGAAACAGTGAGAGAGAGAGGAGAAAGGGTGTCCTCGCCACTGGTTGGCAGAAGGAGCATGTCGGTGGGTTGGTAACTGTTACCGCGGAAGGTGAGGAGACCCAGTTAATTACTAAAGCGTTTTAATCGTCGGCAAAGTTCCGACGGCACTCCAGAGTCTGGGCCAAAAGGGCTTCGGAGAATGTAGCGGCTGTATAAATTAGGAACTCGCCAGTTTCCTTCCCTCTCGCTCTCTTTCTCTATGTGTGTGTGTTTGTGTGTGTATGTGTAGCAGACGATAGCTTCGACCACGTTCAACGAGCAAAGCGGCAAGTTTTCGTGGTGAGACACTCGGTGTGGAAGGTAATGACGTACGATTCATCGAGTCCTGGATGGAGTACGAGGCTTGACGAGTTTCAGAAGCTTACGGATCTTTTTTTTCGAGATCGAAGAGGAATTAGGGAGGATTTTTGACGGGAGGTTTATGGGAACGGAGTTGTGCTTGGGAAACGATTTTCTTGGAACGACGACAGGATCGACTTTGATTAATATAATTACTCAAGAAAAACGAGGAATCGTGAAAGACAGTGGAAGAACAAATAGAAGAAGCCATAAATGAAACACAAAGTCGATAAGAGCATCCTCGATCAAATTTCGTATCAAACCTGACATCAAATTTTACATATTCAATCCACGCAGTAGCCGGGAACAATACTACGAGTCTCTTCAACTGAACGAAACGTCTCCGCATCCAAGAAAGTATCATCCTATCTTCTCCGCGAATCATAATGCCAAAAGACTAAAAGAGAAAGAAGAAAGCACGAACATCTGGAACGTGTAAAACCATCGAAAATTGTCGAATTTCGGTCGATGATATTCACAGGAGTTCGTATTCGTCGAAATAGATGGGGACAGGCCTGCGAGCAGAGAGCCAGGCTAGCTTGACGTCTCGCGTTAAATAACTTTGCTTAACAAGGTGCTGCCGCCACTGTAAAAAGATTACGTAAGCGGTAATGGCCGCCGGCTCCTCCTAAATTCGAGAACGAAGAGTTCCAGCACGGAGTGCACCGAGTCGAGAAGCGAACAGAGACGGAGAACCGAGGAGCGAGAGAGAGATGGAAGCGGGACAGATATCGAGGGGAACAGGAATGGCGAGCGTGGTGTGGAATGGGTGGGAGGGAAAGGGGGGAGGGGGAGTGTGAGCGACACGACGGCCCCGACGGTGGCGGGGGTTAATTTTAATTTCCTAATTTTTCCCACCCCGAGGCACAGGTAATTTCCTCCCCAGAAGAGAATAGATGTAATTACTTAACGCCTCCGAGCTCTGAGCTCCTCTTATTAAAAGAGGATCGTGCCCCCGAGGGCTGGAGGGGTGGAAGATACGCCTCTGGTGGGGGTGGCAGAGGAGTGGTGGAAGCCACAACAATCATCGGAGAGAACGATCGCGAAGAAAGGGAAACGTTGTCGGGCTGGTTTCCTCGAAGACGAACAACCGGGGGATACCGAGTCACCGATATTCTCGATCGTCAGCGTCGGTCTCTACTTCACATTTGCACACGCGAGATCCAAGTGGAACGATCTCGTTCGATCAGCGACACTCGTGTATACCGCCGACAATTTGCAAGTTGTTTTAAAGAAGGAGAGAGAGAAAATTGAACTGACGAGAAAGACGGGAGAAGATATTTTTCTCGAGAGAGAGAAAAAAATTTTCGACTTTGAAAACGCCAGTGTATCTTTCACGAGGTGGAATTAGAGGCTAAGGTCGACGCTGCTGCTGCTGGCTGGCTGCTGCTGCTGCTGCTGCTGCTGCTGCTGGGAAGGGAGGAGCCATCTTGCGGCTGCTTTCAGGGCAGCCACCAATTGATTCATCCCCACCATCGCTCCATTACTGGAAGGAAGGGGCGTCGATTCAATTCCAGGGCAAAAAAACCGTCCACGAGGCGGAGTTCGCTCCGTAATCCATCCGTCCTGATTGGCCAGGAATAGAGTGGCACCCGTGAACCCACCGGCCGCCCGACCAATCCAGAGCCACTGGGTGGCAACCCAAACCAGTTTGGCCACCGTGAACAGAGGGGAGCCGTTGACTTCACTCTCGAGGCAGATAGTGCTGTGCCGTTGGCTCGTGCCGCAGTGGTCCTAACACTAACAGGTCCTTGCCAGCGAGGAATCCCTGGAATCCGTTCGTTGCGCGCCCGATTTCGCCCCACGGACCTGTCGAACACTTGGTGCTCTCTAATCTCGTCAGCTGATCAGTGTTTTCGTGACCGTCGATTGCGTAACCTGACGTCCCAGGTGCAACGAACGCAGCACGCAGCCAGCTTCGATTTGTTCAGGAAGTGTGATCCTCGACCCAGTGCTACGGGACCTGTGTGTTTCGCGTTACGGTCCGATTTCTTTCGGTGACCTTGTCGATTTTCGTGCACATCGGTTGGAAAGATCGACAGAGGAGAGATGGACATTGCAGAGTAAAGATCCGTAATTGGACCGAAGATTCTGCTTTGATTTTCGGGAGAGACTGTCGACGAGAAATCGTCTTGGTGAACTGGAGTGATTAATCGTCAGAGACTGTACTCGTGAAAGGATTAAAAAACTCCCGAGACTGTATCGTGTTTTAAAGAAACCTTACCTGCGTAACCTGCCACCTGTATAATTCTCGCAATTTGCAAGAAAACCTTAGGAATCTCTAACGTTCGAAGAGACGACCACCAGAAGATTGGAACCGTGAAGCTTCGTTTATTCAAACTCCTCGTTGAAAGAATTCAGCTAGAACGCAAGAAGGTCGGTTTCGTTCGACGAAAGCCTGGAATCACGCCTTCCGACGGCTGTCGACTAACCACCAGCACGTTCATTCAAGCAGCCACACACAAACACTCTCTTCAACTTTGCTTCTCAACGATCGTCTGTCTTCGACGAATATGCTCAATCTCGTATCACGTATCACGACGATCCTCTGAATTCCACTTGTTCCACGTCTGGACCTTCCTAAGATGTAAACAAACAGCTGGAAGAAACCTAGTTGCTGAAACCTCACACGTGTACTCTCCTCCTCGAAGTTGAAGGGTCGAGCCTTGTAAGAACTGTCTGTACCGGTTGCTCGGGTCTCGATGAACTTGCCTGAAGTATAGTGCGCGGTTGATAGTCGGAAGAGGTTGGATATAGATGCAAAATCAGTGAAATCTCTCCGGCGGAGAGACAATCGCTCGTCAAGTTGGTACCAAACATGGTCCTGGAACCAGGAGGTGGTCTGTCCTTCCCACTGCCTCCTGATAGCGGCTCCGCTGGTTCCGGTGGTTCCCTCTTGACTCCAGCCAGACTGTTCCAGAGGGCGACACCCGTGTTTCCGTTTCATCTGACAGGATGGCCACCGCATCATCCGGTGTTAGGGCAGGTTCAGAGCCAGGTACAACAGACGATGCAGGCACAGCATCAGGCAGCCGCGGCCGCTGTCAGGTTCAGGTTCCTCAGTCATCATCATCCTCATCATCCGCATCCGGCACTAGGGAACCACCCCCTGGTGCCGGCGATAACTAGCCACCATCCGACCGCCCATCATCTTCATCACGGCGCCGATCACGCCGACGAGGATGACGAGAAGAAAGGTAAGTGGCTTTTTTTTCACCTTGCAAGCCTACGCGCCGTTTTCGAATAATGAGCGCAGCTGAATATCGCCACGAAAGGTAGCCTGTGTTTGTTTGGATTCGGTTAGTTGCTGTTTCTTCTTCTTCATCATCATCTTCTTCTTTCTTTTTCTCTCTCTCTCTTTGTGTGTGTGTGACTAATTTGAGTCGTTTTTGTATGGAAGCTTTGAAATTGACACGTGTCACTCGGTAAGTTTCTTTAGATAGTTTAGGAAAATTTCGCCGTTGCGGGAGGATTTTAATGCTTGCCGATCGCGTTTCTCGAGGCAGTATTTTTCTACGGTAAAAATGGAACAATGTGAGTGGATATCTCGTCTAGTTTTCTACGAAATTGATAGTCAATTTCGAATTCATTCGTAGCCGCGATAGTTTGCATACTTACCGCAACGATAAGCTGCAATTTCGTGGCAGGTAATATAGTGTGGGCCTGCAGGTTGCTTGCTACTTTACTACTTGATTTACAATGCGAATTAAACCGCGTGTTACCCGTGCCTCTAATCTTATTAACATTAATAAGACTAGAAAACTGCTTCTCAACATTGTTGCTGGAAAAATCGAACGGGTTTATAGTCGCTGGTTAAAAACCGGATCAACGATACGATCTCTGATGATTCAACGAGCGATGTTTGTTTTCACGGGAGGACTGTTAGATTTTATCCCTAAATAAACTCGCGACGGTTGTCGAGTTAGGCTGACGATCTTTTATCCACGTTGCTGCTCTTCGTTGTTTTTTTTTCTTCCTTTCTTTCCTTCGTATTCTGCGCGGCTCATTAGCGGCAAGGGCGCAGAAGCGTGCTGTAAATATTTAATCTAGCGTTGCAATATTTCTGGATAATCAGCACGGAATAATTTCATTCGCTTGCAACAGCTCTCCTTCCTATTTACACTTTCTTCTCGCCGAAGTTTAAACTCGTGGGGTATTTCTCATGGCGATACCGAGCTTCGTTTTTACAGTATGTCCAGCCGTAATTTCTAACTAACAAACCTAATTACGCACGTTGAAATATTTACAACAGACAAATGTACAAGCGTAGCTGGTATTAATACAGAAGAACGTAATATTTAGAACCAGTTTCAGTTCACATTCGCCATGAATCGTTGGAGAGAGTCAAGCTTGTGACCGGTACATCGTAATTTCACCTATCTTAAGGTATACCTTTAACAACCGAATCGCTCGATTATACCTAATCTCGACACAGCCACCCTAACATCGAACTATCTGTTCGAATCGTTCTATAGAATTACGTTATATCGTTACACAGCATTCTTTCCGGTCCAGCCAGCCAGCCAGCCTCCTCTTGTTTCTCCAACGTATTTCCAAGATACGTACGGAAAATGGTCTACAGGGAGTGTCGTAACACGGTCAATCATAAGATCGTTCCTGACGAGCCCCTGGGATCGCTTACAGGGTTAGCCCCAATCCGCAACGCCCTTTTTCCACCCTTCCCTTGTAGCCTGACGGCCTGAAATCACGTTTCGTGTACGAGATCGAGGGTGGAAATCTGTTTTTTACGTGATCCCATTCATGTCCCTAACGCTTGTTTATGCCTCGAAGGGAGCGCCACTTAACTCTCGCCCGACTTTTTCCCTCCACCTTTTTCCCCGGCTCTAGTTCGTGGAAATTCAAGCGCTACCGTGGCGATCTTGACCACCTTCAGCTGTGTACGCGTGATTTCTGCTTTATTTATCGACGTCCGATGACTCGTCGTTCGGGGGGAAATTACGCTGGGAATCGGCGAAGATTTACGAGTGCGGGATTCACGGGATGTTCGCCGTTTCAGCCGATGATTTTTCCTCGTAGGCTGCTTCGCGAGGACGCTGAGGAATCTTCTTTTGTCGGGAATAATAATATTTCACTGGTGAAAAGCTCTGTCGCTGTTTTTGCGAATATTTCTCGTAATTGTGTCTGAAATTCTTTTTATTTCAGTCACAAAAAGCACTGTTATTATTGGCACGAATATTTTTGATACAAATTTGAAATTCCAAGTCTGAAGGAGCAATTTCTCAGGAATATTTCGCAGCGGAGCGAACAAGCTGAGATATTTGCAGCATCGACGGTCCAATAAAAGGACTGGTTAGTCTAAGTGAAACTCTGTATTCCTTGGAGCGTTTTCATAGCACGCGGCGCGGTTAAAATACTTCTCTTTCTAATTTCGCTAATGGGCCAACCGGTGTAGGCAAGCGCACGTAACGCGAACTGCGTGTGCGCAACCTAACTAATGAGTTCCGCGAGTGTTGAACGTAACGCTGTTTAAGATAAACGTGTCACGTCTGACAGCCGTGAGAGATCTGCTTCGCGAGTTGTCTTGCCTTCTTTCCACGTGAATTTCGTGTCTTTGACTGTCTCGATCCCTCGTTTCCCGATCGTTTATTCCTCCTTGCGATCAATCTTGCAATAATCGCCGACAAAATTGAGTCTGATCGATCTCTTCCGAATGACCACAAGTATATTTATTCAACATTAGACAATCTGAAAACTTTCCCGATCGTTTATTCCTCCTTGCGATCAATCTTGCAATAATCGCCGACAAAATTAGAGTCTGATCGATCTCTTCCGAATGACCACAAGTATATTTATTCAACATTAGACAATCTGAAAAATGATATCGAAGATTCCGATGAATTTTTAATATCCCGAGAAATGGAGAATTAAATACTTCAGAAATCTGAGGATAATTTTTAACCAATTTGATTTTCATGAATATTACCTAAGTGCTCTGAAAAATGGAGAATTAAATATTTTCTCAAATGTAGTTCTTTTTTCCCCTAGAAATTTCAGTATTTAATTCGAAGATAATTTTTAACGATGGATAATGAGGGAGAGATCAACTGACAAGTATTCGGTAGAATCAAGAACGCCAGTTCCCATCGACATTTAATTAGACGGGGGAGTAATCGAAGTTGGTTGGTCGATAATCGTTCGGGTAGTTTTATTGTTCCTCTTTTATTTGATTTTGTCGGTAAATTATGTGAAATTTGGTATTCGATCTCCTACGTGCAATTAATCGGGAAGGACTGTTCACGGCGAGTAATTATTGTGAACTGATTATAGTCCACCGATCTTGGAGTTATTGAGTTATTTTAGTAATAAGCATAGTTTGAGGAAATTGATCGAGGTTTTCGTGGAATTGTAAGTGAAGGCCAGTGTTTCGTACGTGTAAACATTTCTCCTTCCCTTTTTTTCTTCAATTTCTTTCGAAAAATAATCTTCATTCGGATTTATTTTATCCACCGTTCGAGGATACTTTCCAAGCAGACAATTATAGTCGGCGTTCTTTATCTCGCTAGAAACATCGTCGTGCGAGCGAAATTAGATTATTTTCGTGTTATTTTTAGCAATTTTACCATTCTATCGTCGTTAAATTTATGGATCTTTTATCTAAAGATTCTGCCTCCCCCCTTTGGAAATATGAAATTTATGGTTGCCACGTTTCATAATAGTATTTTCCAACCTTGTCATTTTTACTTTCGTCTAAATTTTATATTTTATTTCCTCGATGTCCTCTCTATCCTTACTTGTTCGGATACTTTATTCCACGCGTTAGCTCGACAAAATTGACGAACGAACTTTCAGCTCGACACGAAGAAATATTTATCTTTCCGTATCTGATACACGTTAAATCTTCAGAAATCAGCAGCACGAGCGAACAGTTTCCACTGCTCGACCCTTTCAGCTCTAATCTATTTAGAGCGTATTATTTAATCGTGGTTAGTCAACAAGCGACGAAATAGAACGTGCGGAAAATTGCGCAAATTGTTTCCAGCTTCTCTCTGTTTGCTTATTCTCGCGTCAGGCCGCCATGCGTAACGTGTATCCGGTGTAATTTTAATTAAACCGAGATCGTTAAACTCGTTCGTTAATTATGCTTGACCGCTCTAGTCGGCGATTTCTCACCGCATCATTTGCCTCTGCAAATATCGATATACATACATATATCTCCGTGTCATTTTTTCCTAACGTCGTTGGAATCGACGAAATCGAACGAAACACCAGAGATAAACAGAGTGTTGTGTTATCTTTCTTCGCTCTCTTTTCTCTCTCTCTCTCTCTCAAACTTTCTCTATGAATACGTTGTTTCCAAACAGAGGCCACGATTGTACCGAAGTCGGGACACACTCGGTCCGCGGTTCAATGAAGCGATCGAGGAAGCGTTTATTCGAATCGACCAATGGAATCCAATAATTCCCTCTTTATTAGCGACGCCCCGAGCGACGGCTAATTACAGCAAATACATTATAGGAAATTAACGCTCGGAGGAGCGTCGATTCGCTGATCAGTGACAGCGGCTAATTAATATTCCGCTTGGGAATAAAATCCAGATAAACCGGCGAGAATGTGTGGTTCGAAACGTGGTGGTAAACGAAAAGATACGAGCCAAGGAGAATAATCCGTCGGTGCGGTGTTTGCGCCTCCATTTTCTACACGGGGGATCATTTCCATGCGAGAACTATGACAGCTCGGGTGTGCTAATGAACGGTTGAATTGCTCCTGGCTAGCCCGAAACCCCGGAAACTTTTGTCGTTTATGAACGTTAAAGTTAGTTGTTCATTGCGAGAAACTTCAGTTTAATTCGTTACTGTTCGTCCGCTTTGAGTTTTGTAGAAACGCATTCGAGGCTTCTCTGTTTAGACGTGGAAATTGGCAGGCTTTTGAGGGTTCTTCGTTAAGGGATGCTTAAATTTCATCGCTCGAGATTATAATATCTCGTCGTATTATGAGTTAGAAGTTTTTGCAAACTGTATCGTTTCTGATTTCAGCATGCAAAATAGGGCGTGCTTTAACCCTTTGCTTTGTAATACCGAAACACATTCCTGGGACGAATTGTTGTCTGCGCGTGACAAAGATAAACGATGTTCGCGGTAAAGTTTAATTAGGCAAGATGAAAAACTGTCTAATATATAAATTACGCGCGATATTTCAACCTACTTTAGTTGATACAGAATTAATCGAGTATATGGAA